AAAGATTGAGCATTCTATTCAGAAACTTCATTTTTCTGTTCCAAAAGCTTTCAATTTTCCTAGAATGTGCCCTAATATTTTGGGAATAACTGAACATCCTTCCATTACACTTCCCTAGGCACGGAAAATTTAAATAAACTAAAATACATCCTAGATACATAGTGATGCTGCCCTGTGCCAACTGTACATCTGCCCACAAAAGAGAGTCACACTATTTCAGTGCCTTCAGGCCAGCTCACTGACACGGGCTGCTTTCAGGCAGTTTAAGCTTGTTGAGATAAGTCCTGCCTTGCTTCAGCTGCCTAGCCCAGGTGTCAGTCCCCAGCAATATCTCATCAGCCGTCCCTGAGTTTCTGCTCCTCACCCAAGACTCGTGACAGGAGCTGAAGCAAAGCTGTGGCCTCTGTTACCTTTCCAGCTTCAGCTGAAGCTGAGCCGGCAGCTGAGGAATTTTCAAAATTCCATTTTGATCTTAAATCTGTCTGTGCTGCTGCATCAGCTCTGTAGTTTTCATCTGGAATCACAGAACAAGTGTCAGAGAAACACTCACACGTGGGAGAAGATTAACAGTGGAAGGTTCACTAAACCTCCCAGACCTCCCCGTGCTGATTGAAGGTGTCCTGAAAGAAAGACTTAGCTGTCACCTGAGAAAAGCATTTTATCCCTGTGCTGTTCCTTAAGCCCATGAGTGTCTGGACATAAGTTTCCCAAACTGTGCTCGAGTATTTCCTTCTTATCCACACTTTCTGATCTACATTGAAGAGGCACCCCTGGCAGATGGTAACCAATCTGTCACACTCACATGGAACTTCAAAGGTGTAATTGTGGTATGGAAAGAGAACGATTATATTTTCAGACATTTTTATCAATACTTGTGATTCGAGAGAGCAGATGGGGTGTCTGATGGATTTTAGAGCTTGAGTACAAAATAGTAATTTTCTTCAACAGCGAATTTGGTTGATTTTCTTCACAGAAACAATGCCATAAAGTCATATTTTCTTGATATATAGGTTTTGCCTCTGTTTAAAACAAATTTCTGGAAATTACAGGGAAATTGGCATTCACCATTCATTACCATTCTCTTCCAGTCAAGGGCTATTTGGGATAAATTGAAAATTCATTAGAAGGAAATGTAGCAATTAGAGATAACATCATAGACCTAGATTTTCATTGTTTTGACAGCAATCAAGTGACTATTGTTATATTGTCCTCTGCTTTAGTCACTCCTGCTCTATTCGCTGCGTTCCACCAGAGGGAGATGTTGGATCAAGCAGTTGCTGAAAAAACCCGCACACTCCATCTCATAGAGCAAATGGAGTGATGCTTAATTCAGTGGAAATCTGAGTGCCTGTCGGGCTGCACACCTACAAGATTTAGGGGACTTGGGTGCTTCAATAGAGCTCTAAAAAAGGATCGTGAATCAGTTATTTATGGAGAACACTTTAAAAAAATACAATAAAATGTGAAGGTAGCAGCATACCATAAGTGGTTGTTAAAAAAAATATTTAAAATAATTATAATAATAATAATCCTAGATAAAGCTGCTGCTGTAGCAGCGTGTCCCAGAGTTTTTCCCCTACCAAAAAGCTGGAGAGGAAACTACTGTCTTGGATAGCCAAGTGTCCTCAGTTCCTCGTGTTATGGCTTTTGGGGTTCCCCAGTCTCTCAAGTTATCCCTGGGCTGGACATCCTGTGGGGGAGTCCTTGTGGGGCTGCACCCTAGTCTATGTCTCCACTGGCTCCTAACCAGGCTTCTGGTGAGCCCAGACACCATTCTGGGTCCTCAGATATTAGAAATTACTGCAGCTTCAAGATCTGAAATGGACTGGTTTCTTTCTGGGAATTTTCCCCTCATGTCTATTTTTCTCAGTGAAGAAGTAAATTTACATATTTTGGAGAAGGAGAAGCAGACATGAGTCAAAACCCAGGCTTATTAAGAAAGGGAGGTGCTAGGGAGAAAAGAAAGGGGAAGAAACTTTTCTGAAAGTGAACAGCTTCATACGAATGGTATTTACAAAAGTAAAAGCAGTTTCAAGAGAATATTTTTCCTGTGTTTTGCTTCCATCCTTTGAGACTGTCTTACCCCACTGAGAGCAGCCAGCACTGGGGGAGTACTGCCCCACATCACTTTCCTCTGTTCTTGTTGATGTCCATTACCCACCATAAGGACAACAAATTTCTCACACAGTAAGAGGCATGTAACATGTACATCATGTGCTGTGCTCCAACTTTTGTCACATCTCCCACCTTCTGATTCAACTTCTCCAAAGCCCCAGTCAACCAGCTGATACCTAAGCCTTACATTAGCCTTTCCTTCAATTTGTGAGCCAAACAGGAGGGGAGGTTTGTTTATTTTCTGTGTCATCAGAGAGTTAAGTGACTGAGCCAGCTGTCGGTGTTTCACAAGCACCTGTGTGTGAGCTTTCAGTCAGCATTTTGGCTAAAACAAAGTTCTGAAAAACAACCCTTCCCTGAGGGAACACAATAGAGCTATGGAGAGAGCTTCTTTGTCACAAAAACGAATGGTTTAGGTTGCTTAAAGAATCACCATCAAATATATTAGTGGAAACAAACTTTAATACAAATTATTGGGATAAAAATTTGCAAAAGTGAGGCAAAGCTCGATGCCAAGGCTTACCCTAATACTGCATGGATAATACATATAAAGGATAACCAGTTAGAATCAATTTAGAGTGATTTTTATGGAGGCCAGGGATGTAAAAAAGGGGTAAGGAAGGAAAGATTAAGGGAGACTCTCTAATGGGTCTTGAGATTCAGTGAACACCCTTGCTTTCCAGACTGCTTCTCAGAGAGGTTCCCACACATGGCTGGATCCAATCTTAGACTCACACGTCATCAATTGTTTATGTGTGAAGGATTTAGCAGCACTTAAATGCTAGATTAACCAACGACAAACAGTAATAACAGTTATGGATCCAAGATAATAGCATATATAGGGTGTCCAAGATACCCAGATACACCCCCAGATATGTGTATGCAAATGTACAAAGGTAGAGCACACAGGGGCATGGATATGTAATGTATAAGTACAAAGGTATATGTATTAAAACATTCCCCTTGAGAATCAGTGAAACACTCATGTCTAATGCCATTTTGGCATTTCTTAATGAGGGTGAGGTGAGATGTTGAGGCTCAAGTAGCAGCTTATAAACTCAGGTTCTGTTGCCAGGTGACACTTCTCTGATTTTTGCAAACTTGAGAGTTTGGGCACTCTCAGAGGCATCCCACACAGAGGAAAATACTGATGCAGCCCGCTGCAGCCCAGAAGAGCTCGAAGGGTCTGTCTTATGACCACGGTTTTTAGGGCTGTGAGATGGTTGGCTTAAGCCATTGATGTATTTTCTTCCTGGCTGCAATCTGGGTTAGTTATTACTGGAATTTTTGAAATTCCAGTAAGGATGGTACTGTTCCACTTGAGCTACATTTCAGATAAGGAACATTCCAAGGCTGTCAGGGGATGACTGATTATTCCCACTGTCATCTCCCACCTTGGTAAGGCAGCAGGAGTTCCTTATCAGTATCAGTACTGACTGATACGGTCAGTACTGCCCCCCACCTTAGCTTTCCAAGAGTTCCCAGTATAATCAACCACCAGTCTCTTGTGGAAAGGCCTGAGCAGGCCAGAGGAGAGGTGGGGAGGGATGAACCAACACACTCACACTTGCTTTCCTCCTTGCCAAACAAGTGAATGGTTTGGCTTCAAGGAGATGAAGCTTCTCCTCTGCACAGACCTTGCAACCTGGTGAGTCAAATGGTTTTTTGGTTAGTGAGAAAGCTGATCTCCTTTGAGCATTCAAAGAACTGGACTTGGGCTTCTCACAGCCCATATTATTGTGACTACAAGAAGAGCAATCCCACTTTTTTGTGGGCTTCCAATAAAAAAGCTCAAAGAATATCTTTGAAATAAAAGAGTTGAGGCAGCTGAACTCCAGGGAAAGACTCAGAGGAATAGCCCACTTCTTTACAGAGGTAAAGACCCTGAGAAGCACTGGCTACCCTGCTTCTGAAAATCCCTCAGTAATCCTGGGTGGGCATCTTTTTTCTGTGTGGTGAGTGTATCTGCAGAGTGTCAGCACTCCAGGAATAATCACAGGACGAATAGACACAGAGATTTGCAGCAGGATAATTGCCTCAAACAGAAGGATAAATAGCTTTTTCTGACATTTAATGGGCCTCTTAAGTGAACGGCAATAAACTCTATGCGAACAGATGTTTTTCCTCTTTTTCGTCCTTTTGCATCTCATCCATAATTATGCACTAAAATGTTCTTGTCTGGGTTGCTGAGAGCAATCTTGTTGCTGTTTGTCTTTGCAGTGTAAGACTGAGCACTTCAGCACAAAGATTGAGTAAAAAGCTCTGGATTCCTAAAGGTTCCTGCCACTATACATCAGTGATCATCTTCTTTGCTTCGCATTAAGCCTGAGGGAGAAGTGAGAAGTTAAGGGGAAAATTTGCCTCTTCTAGCTGCTGCTCTGCATGTCCCAGTGCTAGGGTGTCCTCCTCTTGGTGCCCTGGGCTCCAGCTAGGAGGTTCCTTTACAGACACTCCTCCCCACTCTGTGCTGACTGGACCGTGGGAAGATGGCAGAGCAAACTTCCCTCTGTAGCTGCTGGCTCTGCCTCCAGCCTTGCCGACAGGAGAGCAACAGGCACTAAGCAAGCCCTGCAAAAAAGCCTTTATGCTTTCAGAAACATGTACTTTATCTCCTGATAGAGTACAGAGAAACGACTTTGTTCCTGAGGAAATTCAATACATTCTGGCGAAGGGACCTCCTCCTAAGAAGGAACCTGTGAGCCAGCCAGGAGCTGGGGCACAGCCACAAGCATTAGCCCAGCTGAGCGTTCCTCGCCGGGAGAGGCGCCTGCATTGTCACAAACCCACTCTGTCCTTCCCAGCGCATCTTGAAACATCCGACTGGCTTTGCTTCCCACATCCATAGCTGAGGATGGAGGCAGACACGCTGCAGGGAGGCACATGCCAAAAGGATGGCCCTGTGGTAGCGCCTAACCTACATACAAACTCTTGCTGAGGAGGTTATTCCACTTCGGATCAATACCGGTGTCTCTGCATCACTGATGCTGCTCCACGTGACATTGAGGGCAAACTGCTTGGAAAAGAGCCTGCGGGAAGAACACTGAGTTTTATCCTCACCGTCTGCTCCTAGACAGGCTGCTCAGCTGCAGGGGAGCTGTGGTATCTTTTCTGCTGAGGGCAGACCATTTCTCTCCTCCTTGTTAGGATTATATCTAAGACTTCAAAATGCAACCAGATGGAGGAAAGGATTGGCTGACCACATGGTAATAGTTCAGAAAAACAATCTTCTTGCTACAGATAAAGATTGAATTTAGTGTCCCGAAAAAAATTAGATGCTTTCCAGAATGTGGATGAAACCTTTATTAAAGGTGGGTCTGTATTACTAAATTGGCCTGATACTGGTCCAGAATATTTTGGAAAGCCTCCTATCCTAGGAAAGCTGCTTTTCACCCATCAGGTCTCAAGGATGCTGCCAGCCACCCCCAGCTTTTATTGTTTCTTATTGCCTTTAATGATGCATAAATTGTACAGACATGCCAGTGTATCAAAAACATTGAAAGACAGACCATAGAAAAAAAGCATAGTACCTTAATTATGGGTCTTAATTTGTTTGTGAATCTTCTACCAGAAACACTTTGCTATTGTTCTTCTCCCTGTCAGCCTCAGTACTTTGGCTTGCACCTCATCCCCACTTGGAGACCCCTTTTCCCTGAGTGCTTGCAGATGCAGGAAGGTCTAGCTCATTGATTGTTCCAGTGCTGTTGCCATCCCCTACATAAATACTTTGGCATTTGTACTGTTCTATGTAAGCCCATTAAAAACATGTAATAAAAAGGCTTATATAATTTCTTAAAGCCATCATTACTGCTCCAGCTGTGGTGTTTTGTCAAATTCTGACACTTATAGATTAATCCCTATGCGAAATTACACTTTTTATGAAAGATATTAATCTTTGTGCTTAGAAGTGTAAAAATGTAAGTCAAATTTATTGCATCAAAAACAAGCAGAGAGCTGAAGCCAGAATAACACTGAGGTAATCTTTAAAACATACAGAAAATAGGATTTTTAGTAGAAATACAGGGTAATTTCTAGGCAAAGATGGACATTTGCCTGATGAACTGATATCACAAAAATCTTTGTGCAACAGTATGTGAACTGCATGTGAGCCATCACTACTTAATTCCTGTAAACTGGAATGTCTTTCTATTACAATGGCAAGACATTTTCAATTTTTATACTAATATATCTTCAATAAAATTTCCAGCCCGTATTTTAAAAAGCGGGCAGAATTTTGCTTGTTCAGAATGATTGGACAATTTAGTAAAAGCAGACTATAAAAGCACTGGTTTTCCTCTCCAGGACTGAAACACAGCTAAACCCAAGGATTGGGGTTAAATAAATAAAGTCGAGGTCCAGGCGTAGCAGAGAGCTGCAGAGCATCTTCTCCCAAAGGATGGTCTCATTCTTCTTCTCCTTCCTTCAGCGAGTGTGTGTGCACAGGTACAGGTATGTATGAGTGCAAACACACAAGGGTGTGAATCACAGGTAAACCCTGAGCTATAATCCCCTCTCCAGGCTGATAATTATCAGCCATCTCTTTCATTAAATTTGGAGCACGTGGCAAGGCTGTGCTGTTCGATTCTCCCTGTAGCTGGAGGGAAAGACGGCTTCTGCCTGTGCCTCGTGCTGTGCTGCTGAACAGCAAGATCAGTCTTGTGTTAAGCTGCCTAAATGGCCCACGAGCTTGAGGAGAGCTAATGGGAGACTGCATGAACATATATTTTTTCATTGTTACCTTCAAACTTACCAGTGGCGAGCTGAGAAGGAGTTTTAATGATTCACACAGCTGAGCTTTTGCCTTGACAGCTGTTCAGACACATATTTCTCAGCAGCGGTAAGTGGGTAATATACCAATACAGCCAATTTGCTTCTCTGTTGCTAACATTTAGAAGATAACAGGAAGAGATTCTTTCATAGTTTTCAGTGGGATTTAAGGCATGGGAAGGAGTAAGGGCTGTACCTACCTGGCAGAGCTGTGGCCAGGCTCCACAGAGGTCTGTCACTTGGTGCATAAAGAAATACTTCCAGGATTTTGAGCTGCAATTTTAAGGAACAGAACCGAAACCAGGCTTGCACAAAAGCCATCACCAAGAAGTCAGCCAGGGAGCTACAGACTTTTAATTCCATGTTCCTCAGGGCTATGGCAGAGCTTTTGCACATAAATGTGCAAGGCAATAAACTGGGCCTGGACCAAAGCTCTGAGTGCTGCAGACTCAGGATTGGAGGCACACACACTTCTGTGGGAAGGACACACTGTGCTTGTGAAATTCTACACAGAACATCTCTGTTTTCAAGTGCACAGAACAGTGTCACTCTGATTTTTGAAGCATTAGTCAGGAGTGTAGGAGGAAGGAGAGAAAAAAAACCCTTCCTTTGCTCTGTCCTGTAGATTTTGGCAAGTAGCTCATATCAAGTCCAGAGCACAGAGTCAAAAAGAGTGGTTTTATTCATTTACTCATTTTATAGGAGGAATGCTTGACTTGTATTAACAGCCTTTGGAGAATCGTAGGGAATCCCAGTGGCGTTTTTCCTGCCTGGGGTTTAATTTTGCACAGGGATTGGGGCAGATGTTTTAACTAACCAGAAGATAAACAGAAGCCCTGACAGTGGGTGGAGGCAGAAGATGAATGGGGTAGGCAAGGTGTGTGAACTGAAAATAGCCATAAGAGAGAAGCATTAAATAACTGCTGTAAAGGAGAGATTTCACTACCAACAATATCCCAGGCAAGAGGTAATTTGTAAGCAGCAAAGACAGCACTGAAGCAATGAAGTTTCATTTGTGTTAAACCTTTTCCTTCTAGAGATTTAGCACTGTGCTCTTACTACAAAAGCACAGTGCTAAAAATTTGTAAATTTACAAATTTGTAAATGAGAGAAGAATTTTAACAGTTTAAAGACTTTTCCTGGAGAAACTGAGGGAGCTGTAGCTCTGTGGTACCTACATAAAAAGTAAGTACTGTAAAACCAATGTCTGATTTTGGTTATCAGGGCACGAAGCTCACTGCTCTCAGCAGAAATTGCATGCTCACATTGAGTCGCTTTTCCAGTTACTCCTTGCGTTTCAGTTTGTGCTCAGCTGGATCCAGCTTGATGAATGTTCCTCTAACACCATCCATCTTGCTTTAGGAGAGCAAGGAGGGGAGGTTATTTGCAGCCTGACTCAAAGAGAGCATGTTTTCCAAAAGATATGAAACTTTGCTGTATTTCCCAGCAATCACCTCAAAAAGGCCCATCCTCCAGCTGGACTGGAGTTTCATGCATTATGCTAAAATTTTAATTTGCTCTTCTCAACAGGCTTTGCTCGCACACATATCTTTGCAGCCAGTTCCTGGGGGAGGAATTGATTTATAATACATTTGTTAAAATGAAGAAGTGAGACTGTTTAAGAGACTATCTTAATTCTCACTGATTCTCATGCTAAGCCTGATAAGATTTCTCATTGTCCCTGAGATTTCCTGAGATCGTTCTATACTATTCTTCTTTTATTCTCTATCTTTAGAAACCTTCTGTTGTGCTTTTAGCAGGCAGACTTACGTTCATAAGAAATTGCAGGGCAGGGAGGTGGGGAGGAAGGACCAGAAATTAAATTGTTTGTTAAAACACAAAAGGAAAAGGAAAACATTGAGTTAAATTAGTGAACTGTTCTTTATCAGGACCACTCCTATCAAACTGGGACTTATCAGCTTTTTAAGGAAGAGAATATTTTGTACAAGGTCAGCACTTACAGGTACAGCTCAGTGATGACAAGAAGAGTGGCTAGATTCGAGTATTTGAGGGTTTTGCTGAAACTACACAATGAGAGAAGAACAACAAATGAAACTCTGATGCTAAAACCAAGAAAGACCTTTAGTTTCTATTCTGCTCAGGTAGACCTCTTTCATCTGAGAATGCATTGTTCAAGTTTTTAGGAAAGCTTTGATTTCTCAAAGATTAAACTACAAGAGAGAGTTTTAAAATGTATTTCTGCACTTTATATTTCTGGAGTCAACCTGCCTTCAAGATTTCCTCCATAACCATACACACACAAACTTATCTTTTAATAGGACCTTCACATACCATTATTTATTATTTATCAGGTGCTGATAGCTTAAAATAGTATTTGTGCTAAGAATTTTGTGAAATACTACCCCTGCATTTAATGTTCTTGAGATATGTCTAAAATCTCTTCCCTGAGCAGCAACATTACTTTTGTCCTCGATATGAATGTTGCCATTTCACAGAGGAGCAAAGTGATGCACAGGCAGCCCTGTGACAGCCCAAGTGACCTTCTGCTGATGAAACCCAGGTGATGCTCACAAATGGAGCCAGGTACAAGTCTCTTAAGTTGATGTCAGTCATGATTGATGCAGTTACACTCTCCCTATGTCCTCATGAATGTGTTCCTTCCTTACACGAGCACCAGGACTTGTCTGATCCATTCGTGAGCCACCGAAGTGAGATGGGAACAGGAAAAGTGTGTGGTTGTCAGAAAGATCCACTTCCAGAGCCAACTCACTTCCCTGTGGCAAACACCTGAGACTGTCCCATGTTGGCTGTAAGTTGATCAAAAGATAGGATGATATCAACAAATGTGTTCAGATCTATTGGGAAACTGCTCCAGATAGGGGTTTTTTTGAGTCACCCCCCTGCTACAGGAAAGGCAGGTAGGACTGACACACCCTTCCGAGAGGGGCCTGCATTTACAACAAAGTGCTTTAAAACAACCAATTAACCTAATTCAGAAGGACAGTTTGCCTTAAAAATAGAGAACAGCAGTGTTTAAATGGCAGGAATCATGCATCTCACCCGACAGTGCATCTGTGCTTAGAGCTGAACTGAAATCCCACTTCTCTAGACAGATCATTGCTGCTCCTCCACCTTGCTGCCAGCTGGTTGGGTTGCTTGGCTGCTGGCACACTCCACTTCTGCCAGTGCTCCTCTCTGACCTCTGCCCCCGCAGCAGCCAGCTCTGGCTCTGCTCCCGGCTGTAAAGAGACAGGAGAGGTCAGAGAGGAGTAGTGCAGCCTGCTGCCCAGGAGAGGACACCAGAAGGAGCTTGGTGCAGCAGACAAGGCAGGGACACTGGAAGCACAGTACTGCTCACAGGAGACAAGAGTCACAGCCTCTCTTCCCTGCTTGGCAAAGAAACGGGAGTAGTCATGTATCCAAGTCCTGCATATCCCATCTGGGAAGATATTTATTACTCACTGAGCTGCAAATTGGTTGCCACTGCCCAGTCCCTGTTCCTGCAGAGCTTGCCTCCTGCTCCCCACCTGTGCTCCTGCTTCAGAAAATCACACCAACCACCGCTCCCTGCTCATGCTTTAGCCGTGGGTTAGTGTTGTGCCTTAGAACCAAAGCCCTCCTGACCACTTCATAGTTCTTCATAGTGTGTCTCCATTGCAAAAAAAATGCAGTCTCCTGTGCTGCCACTGAGATGAGCAGGACACCTGTCCCATGCACTGGCTCTCAGCTCATGCAGATCCATTCCTTCACACGTGAAACCAAAGATGTATCTTGAAAATCAGCAGGTTGATGCAACTCCCCAGGAGAGAGGCTAGGAGGCAGAGTATAAACTTAGAAGAGTTACTCATAAGCATAAGCATAAGCATAAGCTGTTGCTGGTGCCCCAAATTAGGGCACCACAACTGGTGTTTCACAAAGGCTTCTCTCACCCTTTCAAAGTTCAGGACCAACATGATTTAACTGGTCCCTAACAGCCACAGCACTGGTTACTAATCATAGTAAAACCTTCCAAAGCAGGTCTATTTTTGCAGCATTCTTGCGGCTTGTTTATTGATCCAGATGTCCACGGAGTCAACCTTGCCAGAGTTAGTTATCTGTATTGCCAGACGATACTGAGGGGAGAAGGGAGGGCTTCAAAGCTGTGTCAGAGAAGCTAGAATTTTGGTGTTACCTTTCCTGTCCAAAATCCTTTATCCTTCACAGGCAGCTCTAACCTTACAAGAAGTGAAGTCCTTACTTCCAGGAACGGGCTCTCCTTTTGTTTGACTTCAACAAAAGCAACTACTAAGTCTACAGTGAAATTTCACTACCTCTTGACATCACAGCGTATAATCTGAACTAATACGTACCTCAACAAGTTAGCGCACTTCCATGCTGTAGAGACGGGCTGATACAATAGTGGGGCGGGGGTTCGTGTCCCCCCTCAGGCCCCTGACACGCACCTGTGGCTACACAGCGGCGCGGTCCCCCGTTCGTACCGGGCAGTGTCCCCGCCGAGGCTCGGAGCATCCCTCGGGCCGCCTGCGGGCGAGCACCGCTGCGTCCCGCAGCCCCCGCCGGGCCGGGACAGGGGCATCCCGGCCCCTCCCCGGCCGGCCCCGCTCGGGGCGGGGACTCCCAAGTTTCGGCGGCGGCGGCCGCGGGGCCGGGCCCGCCGGCGGCATGAGCCCTGCGGCGGGGCGGGGGGGCGGCAGCGCCGGGCAGGGCAGCCCCCGACGCCATGCCCAAGGAGCGGCCGCTCTGGCGGGGCGCCGCTTTCCGCCTCTGCCTGCTCTCCGCCGCGCTCTTCCTCTGCCTGCAGCTGGGCATCAGGCGATCCTGGTGTCCGGAGGAGAAGCCCCGGGACCCGGCGGCGGCGCGGCCGCCCGCCCCGTCCCGCGGCGCGGAGCAGCGCCCGGGCGCGGCGGCGGTGGCCGGGGGTGGCCGTCGCAGGGTCACCTACGTGCGGAGCGGGCGGCGGGGCAGCGCCGTGCCCGCCTGCTGCGCCCCGCAGCCCCCGGGCAGCCGCAGGAAGGTAGGGCGGGCTCGGGGAGAGCGGACGCCGTGCCGCGACGGGCGACCACGGCTACCTGCGAGGGGCTGAGGGTGAGCGGGTGCCCGGGGCGGAGATGGGGCTGGTACCTGAGAAGAGGCGGCCGGGAGGGCGGTGGTGAAGCGAGGTGGTGTGGTATGATGTCGACTTCTTGGGAAGTGGTCAAGCGACTTTTTGAGCAGTGCTGCTCAGCCGCAGGGAAGCGGGAGTGTGCTGGAGCGGGGCTGGGCAAGGTGAGAGCTCGGTCTGAGAAGGTGGCAGTGACCCCGAGTCAGGGTGGGCTCCGCAGGCTGATGCATCCCCAACAGGATCAAACTTGAGAAAGACCATGGCCCTTGGCGTTCTCGGCATCCGCGTGCCATTGGATTCGCAGAAGGCCATCCAGAAATTGTTCTAAGACTTGGTCTGCGTGGGAATTGGAGAGTTAGTGAACGAGCTGGTCAATGAACCTGTAGCTAGGTCCCTACGTGGCAGTGACTGTAAAGTGTTTTGGAGGAGTGAGGACGTCGTTAGGATCTGGAGTTCAGCAAGAGTGAGGAGTGCCTGTGCTACCTCCACCCCCAGTCAGCTGCGTCTGTGGCCAGTAGCGGGATGTTGCCTTCTTCAGTGATCTCCGTGTCGTCCTTGGTTTCGGCAGATGCCACGTTCTCAGGAACTGCTTAGAGATTCAGATAATTATTTTGTGGAGTTTTCTAGGCAGCCTTTCAGGGGGAGAGGAGCCAGCTTTGAGGGCAGTGAAGGAGTAGATTGTCATGTACTTTGGGATCCTGTTGTCAGGGTAGAGTAGTGATAGTCCATGCAGAGATGTGCACGTTCTTAAAGAAGCTGGAACGATCATGAGGAGGAGCACATCGGATTTTGCAAGAGATAAGACTGCCTTTGTGGCCAAGTAAATAACTGTTTCTGATCTTTGCCCCAACAATAATAAAAACCAGTTTTCTGTGGAGTGGCTAAAGCTTGTCCTTACTGCCTTGATGAAAAGACTACTTGCTAACATCCAAACCACCATCTGACCAGATGGCATGTGACCTCTCACAGGTCATGCATGTGGTCTCAACTGCAAATCTGCTTTCTATTCTTTGCCTGTTCCACCCCAGTAATTAATTTTTTACTTCACGAGAAGATGGACAATGAATTCATATGTAGATTGACTTCTAGGTTCTGCTCATCTTCTGTGGGAAACTGTGATGCAAAAAATAAACTGCTACTTTCTGCCTCTGGTTTCCTGAGAGGTTTAGAAGAAATTAGATAATCCTTCACCATGCTTCCTTCATCACTGGCGGTGATGAGGACAACATTGCCACATATTTGTTCAGAATGATAACTGTGTGGTGTTCTTTTGTGCTGTGGTGTTGATACCACTTTGAGGTACCTAGGTCTTGCAGTGTCAGTTTTTGTGACTTTTGTTGCTGATGCTGTGTTACTTGGCATTATTCTAACGCTTTTCAGTGATTCTAATTATGGAAGAATTTCAGCATTAATGGAGAAAAAAGCCTGTAATCCTGTGGATTCTGAGAGTTTCTTGAAAATATGCTAAGAATGGCATCAAAACCAAAAGGCAAAAGTAAAACACATCCTAATTTAGTTAATGATTTTTTAGGAAATCCTATTAGGGAAGTAGAGGAGAGGCTGCTTATTTTACCTGAGAACTGGCAACACCTTGTGGTGTTGGAGAGCTCGAGGCTCTGGAAAGCCCAAGTGTGTTTTGGT